TGCTGTCAATCGTCAGATTTGACTATTTGTCGATTAAACTAATTCTTATTATGCATTAAAAACAGTTGATTGAAATAAAAATTACTCAAAAACCTCAAAGCATACGTGAAAATACAAAGAAATAAATCAATAAGATTTGACTGATAAATTTTCATATTTCGAAATGTAGTTTTTGCTTTACACATCGTTAACGATGCTATGGGATCAAATGTGAAAATATTCATACCATTCGGTTTTGAAATTTTTATTTCGTTGATTTGAAGAAAAAACTTGAAGAAAAAAAAAGAAAAAAATTGCAAATTACATGAAAACGAAGCAAAAACTTTTAAAAAAGAATGCAGCGTAATGCATATCTCAGATACGAATGTAGATTAGCCCAATGGTCAAGTAAATATTTTCCCATATCCAATTGTTTGAGAGAAATTCTTTGTTCAACAGTTGCAGTTATTTCCCGTGGAATCAAAGCATATGGCAACACTTGAATATCAGGAAATTTGGCTTCTGATAAAAATTTGACATAACCTTCATATGACAATATTATATATCTACCATGTTCATGGTAGATTAAAGTCTCAAACATTTGATTTGCATTCCATTGTTCTTCAGTGAAGTGAAGTGAAGTGGATAGGTATTACCATTGATATAGAATATAAATATAGATGAATATGTTAATATCATATGGAACCAACGTCGATAAAATACTTTTATTCGTGTTAGTGTTTTTAGACCACCGACATGTGAATACAAAATTCGAATAGACGTTGTATTGAGAATTAATTTAAGTGAAAAATTATTGAATCGCATTCGAAATGTGATGTCTTAGAATTGAGGTGAAAGAAAAATCAGGTAGTGAAAAATCAATTGTGCAAGCATGATTGTTGGTACGTACTATGACACCATTACTTCCTTGCAAGTTCTTAGGCGCTCGATGTTGAATGGTGTAATTTGATGATGATAGATCAGGTGTGCGACTAAAATAATATATGATACAAATATACTTAATTAATCAAGGATATAGTAGGGAAGCGTGTTTTTTCATTTCTCTTTGAAAAATTATAAACAACATACCAACATTATGTATGCTAGAAATGCAGATGAATTTTGAAAAACTTCAACATCTTGTCTACTTTTACTTAAATTACATTAAACATAAGATACTAATCATTTTGAATTGTTTTGATCCGAAATTTCTTATTTAGAATCTTTATCATACTGAAAATTGTTCACTTTAACATTCTCTTCAAATAATTAAATTTTGAAAAACAAAGAAAAGGTTTTTATTGCATATTTTAATTATGATGAAATACTCTGAAACGGCATTGAAACGAAAAAGTAAGTGAATGAACTGCAACTTTTTTATACAGTTGAAGTTTTAAATGTATTTGGCTAATAATTTCTGTTTCTCTCGATTGACTTGGACAATTTTTTTATATGTCATTTCTCTTCGTAGGCCAATTGCCACATAAAAATTTCGGTTCTGTAGCTCATACTATCACTTAGTTATGAGAGATATATGACAAAAAAAAACTTAATTTTTGCTGACATGTGAGAAGAAAAAGGCATTTTTTAGTTACAGAGAAGCAGTATATTATTAGGCTATTTTGTAGTGTCCAACGCTCTATCAAAATATATGATTGATTGAAATTCTGTGTTGTTCTCTTCTTTGTCTAACTTTCAAAATTATTTGTCAGATAGTCGCATGCTTTTGTGCAGATTGATAGAAACTTGATTCTAGTTCTGCCAATGATAAAACTGACGGTGCGAAGGCTATATTAAGTAACAAATTATATGAAAAAGATCTGTGTTATCAGCTTTGTTTCTGGATAAAAATAACAAGACTTTCTGAAAAAAAGGCCAGTATATTTACTTGGTAGAGTAATGTTTTGAAAATTGACTGATTTATAACTCTTCCATCGATCATTCGATTTGACTTAAACTTTCACAGTAGATGTAAAACAAAAAGTTCTGTTAGTGATAAAAATTTCAGCCGTTAATGTTTCTTCGCTTAGGAGATACTCACATTATACTAAAAGAATTAGATTGACGATTTTTCTGCAGATATCTTCAGTTCAATGTATTCAAAAGTATTCTTTTCAGATATTCATTCAAATCAACAAGATACGCAAAGATGATTCGCATATATGATGGAAATTTTCCAATTTCTTGTCCGTCACACAGAGCTGAAAAATGATTCGAGCTTTTTCAATGAATAAAGACAATCTTATCATTCAATTAAGCGGAAGTTCGTATATTTCTCGTAATATTGAATGAAGTGTTGAGAAAATTTTGTTGCTTATCACAGACATAGTCTATAATTAAAAGTACGACTCATAATTCGTTTAGGTCCAATCTCAATGGTTCGTGCCAATTGTACCAAAAAGTTGCAATTGACTCAGATATATTTACTATGAGTTCTAAGGAAGCTCATAAACTGCTACGTACAGGACTAGGTCACAATTACATAAAGAGAAAATAACGGATTGGCCGGTTTTCGTATTTCGAATGTTAATCTCTAAATATGTTGTATTAAGGAATATAATATCCCAGAAGATGTTGCCAGAAAAGCTCTGCAATCTACAAAGTAAAGCTTATTTTAATTCTGTCGCTTTTTATTTTGGAAACAAGCAAAATTCTGTACGATCAACTTTTGACGCCGCGAAAAGTGCTCATACAGAATTTCGTTTTCGTTTATGAAAAAGTCCACAATTAAGATAAGCTTTACTTTGGAGATTGTAGAGCTTTTCACGCTGTATCGATTGATATATTATGTTTTCTTTCCACTAAACCTATTAAATGATAAAAAGAACGAAATATGAAAACAACATAAACCCGTCGTCCATTTACAAAAAATGATATGATCGCAGCGTCGAAAATCGATTCGCTTTTTTAAAAGAACAGTACACAATTAAAATAAGCCTTGCTTTGTAGATTGTATTGATTTTCACGCTGCATCTTGTGTTCTATTTTGTTTTAAAAAAACGTGTTAGACGATAAAAAGATGAAATAAACAAAAGGGAATGACCTTTTCAAAGGAGCAAAAATCGATCGCACAGAATTTTGCTAGTTTTGAAAGCAAAAACGGTCAAATTAAAATAAGCTTTATTTTACGGATTGTAGAACTTTTCACCCTATATCTTGTAGAGTATTCTGTTTTTTTTCAAGAAAACGTATTTAGGAATTAAAATATGAAATAAAAACTCGGCCATTTGTTGTAAGGCACCCGTTATATCTTAATTATTAGTCTTATTTCGTGATATATATTTCTGAGTGAACTTACAAACTATCATAGCCCTTTCATTTGAGTGATTGTTTCGATTGCATTCCATAACGTTTGTCAAAGTATTTATTGAGAAAATATTCGTTTGTTATTAAAGTGTGCCATTGTCGACAAACCAAACGAGCATTCAACAAATCAGATACATTATGTATGCTTTAGAAAAAGATCCTCGAGAACTTCAACTGAAACTTTGTCCATAATTTTTCTTCTTCACTTAGATGCGATAGGTCATACAATCAGTTTATGACCGATGCGCTATATATAGCTATATATATAAATCTTATATCTCAAACGAGAACGAATGAAGGAGAGCAATATTTTGCCTAGGTCAAATAAATATAAGTGCATAAATGAACTCTGTCCACATGACAAACATAGTCGAAGCGCTATAAGATTGTTATACATAACTGACTAAGATCGTATATAATTGTATACAGTCACCATATTTTTTGATTGGCAACCTATTCTTTCTGTTAGTCTTCATAATCAAAGTAGTCGCTATCGAACGATACAATTCAAAGAATGTCGGTTCATATTGGCTTGAGAAATTTTGTGTATTCTTCCTCATCAATGAATTGTCAATCTGATTGTAACAATTTCTCTTTATAGAAGTAAATCAAGAAGTTTCGATTCCTGCTGATTCATTCAATTTTTGTCCAAATGATGTATTGAAAGATGTTAATAAAACGAACAATGTATTATTCGGATATAGATGAATGCATTACGCGTCGTTCAATATTGAGCAATGTTTTTTGATATAAAGCCATCGACATATTAGAGAGCCCCTCCAGAAGATCGAGTTTTTTTTTCAAAATAGGCTTTGCAATTAAGTTCTACATGGGCAATAGTTTGCTTCCGTTATTATAACGATGTGTCAGTTTTGAAGTAGAGGAAACTTGAGAAATAACCAATAAGAAATAACTATTTTTTAAAAAATGCGTTCCTTTGTTGACAACATATCGTGAAGTCATTTTAGTGCGTTTTTTAGCTTACTCTAAAAACATTCTTTAGGTTCTCTATGCAAAAGAAACTGTTCTCATGAGGATGTGAGTGGGTGTGGGTATGGGTGCTCTTCACTAGTACTCACACGCATACCAACCGCCACACTCACACCATAAAAAGCCATGTATTCAAAATTTATTAAATAAAACGAACATTTTCATCATCAATTGAATTTCAGAACTTTGATTTTTAAGTTCATGAGTACTGATGAAATGATTCTATTTGAATTTCTAAATGAACAATGCATCATAAATGAAGCGTAGATCTGTTACAAGTAGCAACTGCACAAGTAGACCAATCTTCGTTCATTATTTGCACTTGAGTGTCGATGTGAGTGTTGCTGTTGGTCTTGTATGCATCCACTTCCACACCCATACCCTCTTCTTTTTTTCTTTCTAACTTTCTCCTTTCTTCTCTTTCTTTTCTCAGTCTTTTTAACTTCTTTGATATCTATCTTCATTTACACATGTGAAACACACGTGTTCTGTTTGTTTTATCTGTGTGTGTAATTTGTTTTTGTATATTTTCTAGGTGAAAATTTATAAAAGCTGCAGAAAACTCAAGAGTATCGAAACTTTTGCTGATATAATATTGTTTGAAGATTTATGAAATATCATAGGATTATAGATCTTGACTTGGGCTATCAGAATATAGAGCGAAAAAATTTCTTAAAGGTTTCTGTAAAATATTACAGAGTCGGCGCCACTACTTTTGATATGCCCTAAGTATTATTCTTACGTAGTTCACGTGCTAAAGGCATAATTGCTAATGTTTCTGGCGGCATTTGAGATGATATCACTTCTTCTTCGTAAATCTTAATAATTGGAGTTGTCTCTTTCATAGCACGTTCTTTTACTTTTGTACGAAACTGTTTTAACTGTATATTCTCAGAATGAGGTAAATGATTATGATCACGAGTAACTTTGAGTACAACATCTTTAAGACTGGTGTGTACATAGACAGAACATCCTTTTGTTTGACATACCCAATATTTCCTTTGTTTTCGTTTCTTTGTTTTTTTTTTATAAAAAATATTATTTAAAACCAACAATAGTTTACCTTTGTTCGAAATAAGAAATGATGGTTTATCTCTAGTAAGCGACATTAAATCAGTTAATATGAAATCAACAAGATCAATAACTGAATATATTAATAAGTTAATATTGAATCAACAGCATAAATAATTTCATATATAAACGAATTAATATTGAATCAATAAGAAAAATCACTTAATATATAAATGTATTGCTATTAAATCAGTAAGAAAAGTCACTTAGTATACCTATAATAAAAAAAATTCCATCAATCCTTTTCGTAATCAAGGTCATCTTTTTTCTTATTCTATTGTTCGATTTCCACAATGAACTGCCAATCACGAATACCATAAGAGGATGATACAATTCAATAGAACACATTTCACAGTGAGCTGTGTATTTACGACATCTTCTAACTTTCGACATTTTTATATGATCGACATTATTTATTTCGACATTTTTTCTTTCGATCTTTTCTATACCATTCTATCGAATCAAACATACATACAAATAGGACGAAATTAACATCACTAAATATTTTGTTCTTTTCTGTATTTTGTTTCGTTGCCTGTTTGTTGCTTCATCAGTAAGAAAAAAAACACCAACAACACACACACATGTGACTCTATAGGTAAAGTATCTGTGTTTATTCGACTATGAATGCATTTGAGTGTGAGTTTCTTGTCGATGAAAATACTCATGTTTTATTTTCATGCATACTCTTTCTATCAATTCTCGAGTTCTTTTTTTTCTTGAAGATATGTGATGAGATTTCAGAAGCATTTTTCTTAAAACATTGGATTGTTTTGCACTTTGACAAATCTACTCATCATTTAGGCATTGTGAATCATCTTTCTTCTCTGGAATCGATGCTATCATTTAAGCTAGATATTCTCAGAAATATTGATTATGCTCGAGCAGCTACGATTCATTCAAAAATTTGATTTCCTTTGCAGGAAGTCCAAGAAAATGGCGAAAGCAATCTTTCAACGACGATTGGTACACAGTTGAAAAAGTGATTGTGACAATGCTGATTATCTGAGAGTTATTGGAGCTGGATTAGGACGTACAGATACATCATCACTCAAAGCTGCGCTTGAATTACTTGGCTTCGGTCCTTGTCATCATATGTCCGAACTATTCGACAAGCCTGATCGTAGTTTACAATTTATTCGAGCATTCGATGGAGACAAAGTCGATTTTCATGAGTTAATGAAAGGATATGGATCAACAGTTGATTCTCCGACATCGGATTTTTATAAAGAAATTCATAAGGCTTATCCGAAAGCAAAAATTGTGCTCACTGTACGAGATAGTGGCGAAAAATGGTTTGAGAGTTTCCAAAATACCGTTGGACCTGTTTCTGTAGACAATTATTATTATTTTGCTGTCTATCTTATTTGATTTTTGCGATTGCAATGCATTGTCGGTCGAAAGATTATGAAAAAATGGACGAATGAATATGGCCCTATTGGACCATGGTTTCATGATCAATACAATGCTCGAGTGGTTAATGAGAATAAGAAGGAAAATATACTTGTATTTAATGTCAAAGAAGGATGGCCTCCTCTATGCAAATTTCTCGGAGTAGATATTTCTGAGGGAATTCCATTTCCAAACGTCAACGATACTGAACATATCAAACGTATTATTGCATTGGCAAGAATAATGGGCTGGTCTACTTGGGCATTGCTTGGTATACTAATAGGCATTGCGATTTATTTCTTCTTTAAACTTCTAATATAAATAGAAAAGAATTCTTTAAGGTATGGCAAGAGAGAATCTCTTGGCTTCGAAATTTCATTTTTTTAACCATCTTTGAACATTTGTAAATGAGCTATTTTAAAATAAGCATGCAAACATCGTAGTGTATTTTCCAATAAAATGCAATAAGAATAATGGATGTTGATTGTTACCAGAAAAATTACGATGAACACATGAATTGATGTTGGTGAACAAAACACATAGCCTAGAAAAGCAGTAACAGTTGCCAAATGAAGATCAATAAATGAGTAGGACCCATTTATATACATATATAAGAAAGGATGTGAGTAAGTATGCGGAGTACGCCATCTCTGAAGTGAAACCCACACACCCCATTGTCTAGATGGTAATGCAAAAAATTGAAAATGTGATGTAGTCAAGCACACGAAAGCGAGATAAACCTAAATTGGACCTCTTTTAGATGGAAACAAGAAAGTGGCAAGAAAAGCCGAGTGGCATGACCAAATGTTACGATGCTTCATTCTTTTTACATTGTGACAACTATATCTTCTAAATAACAAAAGCAAACTCTGTGCAACTTTTATCTTGCATAGAGACCATTTAGATCTACTATCAATAAAAATTTCATTAATTTTCTGTTGACTCTGGATGAGCTATTGTAAGAATATCGATCGTTACGGAATTCCAAAAACTGGAATTTTTTTTGAGGGTGATCTAGTAGTTTAACATTTTACTATGAAACGAAGTGACTTACAAATAAATGCCATGCATGAAAGTTGATGTGTTCTCCACAAGCCTTTAGAATATTAGCTCATTTCTTAACAAGTAGAACCGCATCGAATAGAAAAGCTAAAAATACTACTTGTTACGGAATTTCATCTTTTTTTTTCGAAGTTTCAATGTAGAAGATTTATGACTTCAACAAAAAATCATATAATAATAATAATAAAAAGCCATTTTTTTTCTAATCCTCAAGAAGTATAGAGAAAGTTTTCATCATTTATCCAATTCACTTCTATTGTCTTACAAAAATCATGTTAAGGGTGTGGGTGTGTGGTGTGCGTGTGGGGTTTGGATGTGGGTGTGGGTATGGGGTGTGGGCGTGGGTGTTGGATGTGGGTGTGGGTGTGGGTGTGGGTGTGGGTGTGGGTGTGGGTGTGGGTCTTCTTTAACTACACACACACCTACATCCACCCACACCCCATCCACACCCTACCCACATCAGGCACACTCACACCTCACCCACACCACGCACACTCACACCGCACCCACATCCCACACCAACACCCTCACACCCACACCCCACACTCTACAGCCCACAACCCACACCCACACCTACACCCCACACCCACCCTCTTCCATAATATATCTCATATGTATGTGGGTTCATTCTCTAGTGGGAATTATATGTATTTTACTGATTTCATCCGATCTCGTGAATGTAATATAAGACACAATATTTTTGGTAAACCTTACTGATTTCAAACAATCAAACTAAATAAACCAAATCATCTAGCATCCAACATGTTTATAGTTATTATATAGCTTAAGAGTCTCCTTGAAACTATCAAATTCGATGGAAAAACTCGATGAATGTCAAGTACCCGAATATTGTTCATTCCCGAAAAAACGCATGCCTGTTTCTGTAATTGATTGCGATACAGTTTTTTGTTGATTATAATTACAGTTTAATGAAACCTGTTTTTCTATCAATCTAGTGAGAAAATTTATGTTCAGTTCCATTGACCGAATTAAAAAGTAAACATTGCGATATTCATGAGTAAGAAATCTCTGTCAATACATATCAACATGCTTCCAAACAATGGTACTAATTGATAATTTAATTATCTAAGCAGTTCATTATCTATCACAAACTGTACTCTTATCTGTAATGTAGCATCTTAGTTACTCATTCAAAATGGCAGCTGGTTTTTATTCTGTTTTATTTTACATATCTCGGATTAGGAAAACAAACGGTTCTTCAAAAGTTTACTTGTTTGGAATAGCTATTTGTAAGCATAGATAACTTTGTTCAAAGGATCACAGAAGACATTTCTCTTGTTTGAGTTTGAAATTTTATTTTTACTTTAGACATAAATAAGACGTGCTCTGTTGAACAAATTACTGAAATTATGTGAAAGTATTATTGAATTCATATTAAACAATAGTTATTATTTAAGAAAAAAATAAGTTACTGTGTATTTTCGTTATAGAGCGCCTATTAAAAAAAACAAGTGAAAAAATTGTTTTAAAGACTTAATTGTTTATTTTTATCTCAACGCATCTGTAATATAAAATAAACAAAGTATTTAAAATGAGGCGCTTCCCCTATAACAATGATCATACCCAGCATCATGTCCTTCATGCCGTATAGTATCATCTTGATGAAGTCTTTTGATCCAAGGTGATGGTGAAGATGATAATCTAGAGATCTTATTGTTATCTCGCATAAAACAATGTCACTATTATCATAATAATAGGAAAATGAATACATTGAGAAACAGAAAATTCTTAGCTAACTGGTTCCAAAGCAGTTGTGACAAATTTTTGGACCAGTATGAATCAAGGGAACCTTCGAAAAATCCGACCATTGTTTATTTCTTTTACGGTTTTAGTTTTTTACGAAAGATGAGGTAAAAATATATGCATTACTTTAAAAATTGTAGTTTTTATTTGTATGAAATCCAGACACATGTGCGAAATCAGTTCGATTCTATACTCTGGGAGGTGGATCACATCCTAAATATTTTACGATTGATCTCTGTGATTTCAGAAAAAAAATCATAATCATTCTCAAGATTCCGAAAAAGCTGCTCGAAGATTAAAAGTCCTCGACCTCGAAAACCACTGGTCAAACTCGATCAACCTCACTAATACATTGATATACGTGGCTAGATACGTGCGTGAAAACAAACACCGACGGTCACAAATCTATTTTATTTAATATGATCTTCCTTTCTGTCGAGGGAAAAGCAGTGTTAACAACGCTCCGAAGAAGTTGCTAAAAGAACTAAAGAATTCTAAAAGTTATTCACTACCCCTTTTTCGCTCTCTTCTCACGATTTGAAAAGTTTTTTTTTGCTTTCCTTAAACTGACGATGTTTCACCGTCAATGAGTCTGGGCATTCAAGCATAAAAAAGTAATACTCACCAAAAAAAACAACACTCTCAACAGGTAAACATACAAAAAAAGACATTCATTTTTTATACGTTATCGTCGCAAGCATGCATTTGACAGTGTAAGCATCACTTCCACTTACATACAAAGCTTCTCATGAACTGTTTTTTTTGATAACGCTTGAGTTTATTTGGTGGCTTTATTCACCTCTCAGTTACTGACAGCCAAGAAAATATCTAAGTTTTACATCATAACAAGTTAGTTCTCGGGACGCCGAAAAAATGTGAAGTAAACGAACCAAGTACAATAATAATACAGTTTGGAGATTATGACTCTTTTTTTTCTCGTCTAAGATGCTTGTCTCTGAGTGGGGCTAGTATATATATAATTAAAGAATCATTTAAGATATGTGGTCGGTTATGATACGAAAAGAAAAAGAGAAGAAAGGAGAAGAAACAGAAAGAAAGAAGAATACGAAGAAAGAAAAAAGAAAAAAGCGATTATTTTGCTGCGTCATTTTGACCATGTGAAGCTGTATAATATATCGAAGAAAGTTAAATTGTCGTTTTGTATACGAGAGGTTATTCGTTTGTTTGGTTTAACACTAGGAAGACTTTGATGAATGATTTTGCGAGATAATGTCGGTGAATGTCGTTTATAGTATTATTGTACAGTAACACACAGGTTCACATTTCATTTTCGAAAATTTGAATGTTGTTTATTTTTTTGTCGTAGGCATCTTTGAAATTTTTCTTCTAAAGTTGGTAGTTTTAGTACGTCGTGAAAATCATTGAAAAATACTCTGTGCGTACACTATATTAATCTGAGATAGCGTCTATAGAAGGCATTTATTTAATTTTGACTAGAGATTGAAAATAAACAATAAATTATTGACATAGTGTACAGATGTGGCCATGTATATATGTGAAAGAATTGCATTCTTAAGCTAAAGACATTGGAAAAGCACACTGGATATAGTTGAGTATTGTGCATGATTCTCTTATGTAATTTAATTAATTGTATATCTAACATGGTTTCAAAGGAACATTTTGAATCAAGATGCAAGCATAGATATTTGAGTGATTTGTGTTGTTGGATTAGTTGTCTTTGAAAAGTAATTTAAAGTTTTGATATTTGAACACATTTGTGATAAGCAACAAATTCTGTTATATTTTTATTCGTTGGTTGATGATTTATGTCTGCATATTTTTTGAGCTTAACCAAGCATTTGCTTATCTTTATTTTGACTTATTCTGTTTGTTTTCGGTGTTTTAGATGAATTGATAGTAAATAGAAAATCTCCGAGTCATCGACGTATAGGTGTACTTCACGTGGATATTCAAAAATCGATGGCAGATCGTTATGGTTTACACAATAAGTTTTGGGTATCTGTGCATATTGAAATGTTTGCGTATTAGGAAAAAACATTGCAGACTTGCGGGATAGGGATTAGACAGTCGTCGATATATAACGTCAATAACAATGACGAAGAATCAACAAAAAATCAAGAGAAATGATAATTTCGAAAAGAAAGATGAAATCATAGAAGAAAGAAGTAAACGAGAATTGGGATTTCTAAGTAAAAACATCGATTCAATATTTCCTTACTATGCAAATAATATCTTGTTAAATTTTCTTCTACTGATTATCTTCAGAACATCTTTTTTAAGTTATGTACTCAAGTACAACTGAATTGAAAAATGATTTCTATTATGTGAATTTAGGATGAGCACAAACTGGATCTTGTTGATCTCTATCAACGCTATAAAACTGATCCAAAAACAGTAAGTATTACAAATCATTAATTCGATGCGAAACGTTTATCACTCCATAGGGTTTATCAGATACTGAAGCTCGACAGGTGCTTGATCGTGATGGTCCCAATATGTTATCACTGTCGAAGACAGAACCAGAGTGGATAAAATTTTGTAAACAAATGTTTGGCGGAGTTGCACCTCTGCTTTGGATTGGTGCTATTCTATGCTTTATTGCACACGGCATTACAGGTGTCACATATCACGGAGATGCGTCAAACGATAATGTGCGTACAATCAACTATTTTCTTGTCATATGTGCATCTTACGAAAATTTTAGTTATGGCTTGGCATAGGATTGACTGTCGTAATGATTGTCATCGGCTGCTTTTCGTACTATCAAGAAGCGAAAAGTTTCCGAATGAAAGAGTCGTTCGAAGACATGTAAGATGATTTATTCGAATTTGTCCGAAATAATTCTCTTCATTGGTGTGCTTATATGTTATAGGTACGCTGAAGTAAGTGTACGATTTGCACGCTATTGTATAATCGTCTTGTTTTCTCCATCTAGCGAACGGTTGTTATTCGTAATGGTGAGAAGAAGAATGTGAAAATCAAAGATTTAGTAGTGGGTGACATAGTCGAGGTCAATTCTGGTGATCGAGTACCTGGTTAGTTTCTTTTAAGAAAATGAGCTTTCATGTGACTTTTTACATGGATAGCCGACATTCGCATTCTCGAATCACATGGTTTTAAAGTCGACAATTCTTCCTTGACTGGAGAAGCAGAACCACAGTCACGTTCAGTTGAATGTACCCATGACAACCAATGTGAAACGAAAAATGTGGCTTTTCTCAGTACCCCTGCTATGGAAGGTTAGTCCAATATTTTTTATGTAATACTTTGCTAACATTCACGAATCAATTAGGCACCGCCAAAGGTCTTGTCATTCGTACGGGCGATCGTTGCCTAGCTGCTAGGACTTGTTGTCTGTGCAAACATGGTTGGCATCTATACATTGACGCACCGGTTTGCAAAGAAATCGTTCATTTTATCCACATCATCACTGTTATAGCCATTTTTCTTGGCATTTCCTTCTTCATCATCGCACTCAGTCTCGGCTATCAATTCATACAAGCAATCATTTTTCTCGTTGTTATTAGCATTGCCAATGTGCCGAAAAGTCTTCTTGCCACTATGCCTGTAAACAGCGACTGTTAAAAAAGACTTACAAAAAAAATTCTTCTTTGATTACTGCTTTAGATATGTTTAACACTAAGAGCAAAACAAATGATCAAAAAGAATTGTTTGGTGAAATACTTTCACGCTATAGAAACTCTTGGTTCGACGTCAATCATCTGTTCGGATAAAACCGGCATATTGACGCAAAATCGAATGACAGTTGCTCACCTATGGTTCGATAACCGAATTTTCGACGTAGATACCGCGAAATCTCAAGAAAGTGAGTGATTTATCGTTGAGTGAGAACTGAAAAAAAATGATATTTGCGAAATTAAGATGTTACCTATGATAAGAATGCACCTGGCTGGTTAGCTTTGTCTCGTTGTGCCATGTTGTGTAATCGAGCTGATTTTAAACAGGATCCGGAAAATTTAGCGCGACCAGTGTTACAATATGAATGTAATGGTGATGCGTCCGAATCGGCCCTACTCAAATATGTTGAGTTATCGGTTATAAGATTTTCTTTAATTGATTATTCACTCATCATTTCTAATTTGTTTAGATTGGCAATGTCATCAAATTCCGCGAGATCAATCGAAAAGTGTGTGAAATTCCATTTAATTCAAAAAATAGCTATCAAGTATCGATCCATAAAATGCATACTGTCAATGAAAATTGTGATAATTCTTGGCCTTATATGCTAATGATGAAAGGAGCTCCTGAACAGATTCTTGAACGATGTTCAAAAATATTTATCGATGGCACAGATATTGAAATGAACGAATGTGAGGTCGTTTTACCTGTAGATGAATATCGACCATTGTGTTTGATGTATTTACAGATTGGCGAGGTGAATTACAGCGAGCTTACATGAAATTGGCCAGTATGGGAGAATCCGTACTGGGCCTTTGTGATTTGCGTCTGTCAAGTTATGATTATCCGAAAAACTATCAATTCGATGGAGAGAAAGTCAATTTTCCACTTGACAATCTTCGTTTTCTCGGTCTCATGTCAATGATCGATCCGTCGAGACCAGCTGTTCCTGAAGTGTCAGTATTCCCGTCATTTTTATTCACGTGACCTCCATTGACACTTTTGTTTTATAGTGTAGCTAAAAGTCGTTTGGCTGGAATTAAAATAATTATGATGGCTAGTGATCATCCGATCACGGCTAAAGCCTTTGCACGTGCTGTGGGCATCATTTCGGAAAATACAGAAACAGTGGAAGATATTGCTGAACGTTTAAGGATTTCTCAAGAACAAGTCGATCCATGTGAAGCTAAAGCATGTGTTATTGATGGTAATGATTTCAAAAAAATGTTGCCAGCTGAAATCGATGTACTTTTGAGAAATCATACAGAGATTGTCTTTGCACGAATATCTCCTGAACAAAAACTCATTATAGTTGAAGGTGAGCAAAACATTATCGACAGATAAATATTATGATCAGTGTCCTGCTTAGGATGTCAACGACAAGGTGCTATTGTAGCTGTGACAGGCGAAAATATCTGCGATTCATCAGCTATGAAAAAAGCTGACATCGGAGTGGCCAGGGGTTCGTTCGCATCTTTTCTCTTTTTCACTATCTCAAATAGATCGATCGATACACGCAGGTATTGCTGGTTCGCAGGTGAATAAACAAGCAGCAGATATCATTTTGTTGGACGACAATTTTGCTTCAATTGTGACTGGTATCGAAGAAAGTCGTTTGATTTTTGACAATTGGAAAAAATCTATTACCTACACGTTAACATCGAACATACCTAAACTCACTCCATTTTTGATACATTTATTAATGGATATACCATTAGCATTAGGAACCATTGCCATTTTGTGTATCGATCTGGTAACAGATATGATACCGCCTATTTTATTAGTCTATGAGAAAGCAGAAACAAATATTATGAAGCGACGACCAAGGAATCGACAACATGATCGACTTGTGCACGAACAGTAAGATACAAGTTGCAGTCAATCAGCCAATGAACATACTCACTATCTATTTAGTCTTATATCAATAGCCTACGGTCAAATTGGTTTCATTCAAGTAGGTGCTGGATTCTTTACCTATTTTGTGATCATGGCTGAGAACGGCTTTTTACCATCACGTCTTGTTGGTCTGAAAAAGTCATGGGACTCAAAATATGTCAATGATCTTCAAGATTCCTACGGTCAAGAATGGGTATGTATTTCTTCATTTATTCATTATAAAGAAAACTTGTTTTTTAAGACCTATGAACAACGCAAACAACTCGAATTTACATGTCATATTGCTTTCTTCATTGCTATCGTCATTTGTCAATGGGTTGTATTAATCATGTGCAAAACTCGACGAAATTCCATTCTACAACAAGGCATGAGGTAAGGTTTACTGTAAAAAACCAAATCACCTCACAAAAAAAATGTAAATGTGTTTGAATGAATAGTAATTGGATGCTAAATTTTGTGTTGATATTTGAAATGGTCCTAGTTGCAATTATTTCCTACATGCCCTATTCGGGCACGGCTATCAATACTTATCCAGTGAAGTAAGAACTGATACGATTCCTAACATGCTTTTTAAATGCGATTTCAAAATAGATTTCGATGGTGGCTTCCGGCATTACCGTATGTTTTTCTAATTTTAATCTACGACGAAGTACGTAAATATCTCATTCGGAGACATCCTGGTGGCTGGTTGGAGAGAGAAACTTACTATTAGATTTTTCACATGTTTGGAATTTTTTATTTTAATCTTTGCATTTATAGAACACACTATTAATCAAGCCTTACTTAATTGCTTAAGTTTTATTCAACTAATAAATTCTACTGATTTTCGAGATAATGTTTTGACGTCTAATTGATGAATAATCTTTTGTAATTCTGAAATAATTTGTTGTTCACACTGATCGGAATTGGATATACGATTATCTCGTAGACAATTTTGGATTATAAATCAATTGATTCATAGAAAAATTGACTTTGACATGGTATAATATATCTTAGACCTTTGATGAACATAGGTATTAGTTTTGATGGTAAGTCTTATCGACGTCAATAAAAAATGATGAAGTAATTATTTTTTAGATAAATATATATAGAGCTCCGACGACGATGATGCTGCTTCATCGTTGGGTGTGGGTGTGAGTGTGGGTGGGTGTGGGTGTGAGTGTGGGTGGGTGTGGGTGTGGATCTTCTCTTCACACCCACATTCACTGACTGACAATGTAACTATGAGCCAATTTTCTTGAACACGACTTGGAACAATTCAATGGTACAACTTTTTTCGAAAGGTTAGAGTCGTATCTATCTATCATGTTCCTGTCAAAAGTTATTCGAAAAACACTCACTGGTCTTCTTTTTCTTTTAAATGGGTGTTAGCTTTCATCAAATTTAAAAATTCCTAGTACATTTATATTCTAATAAAATTATGAATTCCAAGTGCTCACGAGCAAATTCTAGAAATTACGAACTCAATAAGTCAAGTAATCTGTAACTTGCGCAAAATCAATCAATCATTGCAGAAAATAACGTTGAAATTCTATACTAGCTAGAGACGCACACAGATTTCGACCATGTGAGTTTTCAACCAACCATGCTTGATCTTGTCCTTTCAGTCAGTAACCTAAAGATGGATAAACATATGATATTAGTTTGACTTGTTTTAGTGTCGCATAATCTAATAGATATTGAATTGTTGGCGGTATTGGATCACGATAAGGTTTCTATTATTCTAATCGAATTTGGGGTGTGGATGTGTCGCCGTGTGTGTCAGAATAGGAGTATGAAAAAAATGAACTATACCCACACCCAATATCTAGTGACCTTTATAAACTGCAATAATTACAAAGAAAAGAAGCACTATTGTAGTTTAGTGCTCTCTTCAAATTACAAGTCGGCAAATTGAAATAAGGAGACTCAATCTTTAGCGAACTCTATAAATTCCAGAAAGTTTAATAATATAGCTGAAATTTTAATTTGTATTAAAATTCTTATGAGTAATTTTTTTGAAATTTGAAAACCGAAAATTTGAGACCTAAGATTATTTTGAATTTGAATAAATTAAATTTCAAAAACGACTGAAATTGAATTTAACAGATGTTTAAGTCGATTTTATGCTCGCAAATGAGAGGATACGGTGTTGGCTAGCATTTTTATTGAGAAAATATTGCATGTCAGTGGTGCGAAAGAAATAGTAAAAATAACTAATGAGCATAGATATGTCAATACTTGTCGCGTCACATACTGGAGAAAAAGTATTCTGTTTTGCTTCATTTATTCTTCTCTTAGGGTATGACAATCATATAGAATTTTGTTTAACTTTTCTTTTTCTGTTTGAATTGTGTCTCTTACTCTTATT